TGGGTCCTCATTTCACCCATCTCGGAAGGATGGAAGGCTGAGTCAACCTTGAGCCGGTGAGATTAGAACCGCTGAACTGCAGATAACAGTTAGCTTAAGTGGCCTGCAGTACTGCACCCTAACCACTGCGCCACCTCGGCTCTATACAGTATCAGGATACAGGGTTTGGGAGAATGACTAGCTAAGAGTCACTGAAGTTCAAAGAACCCCCAAATCCAACTCCTGGCTGGCTCCACCCACCAATCCTCTCCCCTCCCAGGAGTCCCCACACGGTCTGTTTTGGATGCAGGGAAGTGTAGGGCTCAGAGGCTCGGGGACGGCAAAAAATGGGCCTACCAGAAGTTCGGGAAGGCCGGAAATGGGCCCGTTTCCAGCCTCCAGAGGGCCTCCCAAATTTGGGGTGGCTGTTTTTGCCCTCCCAGAGGCTCGAGGAAAGCCTCCGGAGCCCAGGGAGGGGAACCCCTCCCCTGCCATGGTGCAGGAGGCCGACTAGGCCACGCCCACCCAGCAACTGGGCAGAAAACCACTTGCTAAAATTGACAAAAATGTCATAAATTAGTTTCATGTGACCCTGGGAGGGGGCAATGTCAAGCTTCCAAACTGTAAATCACTTTTGGGGGAGGTGGTTGTAACTTCAAACAATTACTAAGTGACAGATTGTGAGTTTTGAGGACTGCCTGTAATCTGTTTTTGCTTGCATGAATGTTTTCCCAGGTGACCGCCATCATCTTCACTGAATGCCCATCTTACCTCAGCAGTTGGCACGCCTTCAGGTGGTCGGCATTGCAAAAGGACCTCATGATCGAGAGGCACCTCCTTCCCCAGGGGCTCCTGGTCAAAGTTCTTCCTCAGATCTAAGGACAGGAAAAATATAAAACCCACCAGCATTAGTTGTGATACTCACAGTGCAATTTAAAAATAGCAATAGCAGTTAGACTTATATACCGCTTCATAGGGCTTTCAGCCCTCTCTAAGCGGTTTACAGAGTCAGCATATTGCCCCCANCTGGAGAATTCTGGGAGTTGAAGTCCACAAGTCTTAAAGTTGCCAAGTTTGGGAACCACTGGCCTAGGGCCATGATGGCGAACCTATGGCATGCGCTCCTGAAGTGGCACATGGAGCCATGTCACCTGGCACGTGCGGTTCCTCTTCTGGGTTTCTAACATCCATGCGATGATCAGCTGGCCTTTGTGGGTGGCAGCAGTGCCGGAAACTGGAAGAGCTGGTCTTCCGTTTTCCCAGATGAGCCAGCCCGCTGAATGGCACATTTGAATGCGTGGCAGTAACCAGAAGACTTCCTGGACAGCGCGCATGCACCCGCCTGAAACCGGAAGTTCATTTTTCAGTACTTGAATGCCCCCTGAGCAGCTCCTCTTCCTGGTTGCGGCCAAGACAAAGTGCTCCCTTTTTGACACTTGGTGCCACCCCCCGTGCACTCTCTTTTCGGCACTTGCTGGTGAAAAGGTTTGCCATCACTGACCTAGGGACAGGATCTACCTGCTTTTGCCCTTACTTGCTCATTTTCTCATTTTCTCAGATTCCCATCATGCTGTCCTTCGTTTCAATGGAGCCCCAACTGCTGGCTATGAACATGATGTGGGCACAAAAACAACACTCCGCCTTGTGAATTCCCAGGTGGGTAGTAAACTTGGGAAGGACAGACTGAGCTGTGGACAAAAGAAAAAAAAACCTTGCTCATAGTTAAAAGCTAAATGGGGAAAAGGTAGGGAAAATCCAATGGTTTCATTTCATTTGTTTGCCATGAAACAGAACAGTAGCCTCAATTCTTTACATTGTTAGATCAGAGGTATCCTTAGATAGTCAAAAAAGTGAGGATGGGGTCAGGTACCAATGTGATTGAAGTTCTAGCCATTTTTATATGCACCATATTTTATATCTTACATTGTTAGTTCAATATATTTGGCTAATTGTCCTCAAATATATCAATATATAGGAATGATATAAATAAAATCAGATTCAGATAATTACAGACCTATTATAGACAATTACAGACAATTACAGAACCAGCTGTTATGACAGAAGTAGGCAAATTGCACTGTACACATTTAATTATAATTATGTCCTGAGAGAAAAAGTGAGGTGCCTAGGCTAGAAGGTTAGAAGATCTCATAATGTCTTCTACTCCAGAAGACTCAGAGGTCTCCAGTATGCGGAGTGGAGAATTCTGGAAACTGAAGTCTATGTGAAGTCTATCCTTCTTAAAAGATGCCAAGTTTGAGTTACACTGTTCTAGTCTACCTACCTGCCCAGGGAAGGAATCCTTATGCTATCCCAGATAAATAAGCTATTCAACCTTTGCTTGAAAACCTCCTGTGATTATGCATGTACAGCTATAGGCAGCCTATTCGTGATCACAGTCAGGAAATTCCTCCTTGTCTTAAATGTAGATTTCCCACAGTGAAGTTTCTATCCTAAATCTCTCACAGAGAGTTATGGAAGAATAAATGACTTGTGCCACTCCATCATCATCTGGATCCTTCAGTGAGACATCATTACTGAAGCAGAAACCCCTTCACCCAAAGGCCAACTGAGCTGGCTCATTTAACAGATGTCATGATTTCAAGGACAAGTTTGGGGCTTTGTCCAGCCTTTCTCTAACACAGGCCCAGGTTCAGTTGCCTGTGCTGGATTTTTCCTTCTGGCATTGAGACCTGTCAATCTGTAGAGATTCTCAGTCATCTAGGTTACTATGGTTGTCACAAAGGTGCTTTTTTCAGGAAGCAACTGGACTTNTGTTACAATAAACGGTTACTGTTACCTCAGACGCCTCTGATTCTTCATACAGCCGATCTAACAGCCACATCATGGTTATGTTTGACCTTGGGGAGGGAGGAGCTTGGCAAGGTTGGGTGGGGCCATTTTGACATCACTTGTGTCGGGATTGTCCATGATTAGCCCTCCTGAGCTCCGTTTTCACTGGCAGAAGCACCACAGGCCAGTTCTTCACTGTCCCTCCTGAGCTCTATTTTTGCTGGCAGAGGCCCCATGGGCCAGTCCTTTGCTGTTTCCAGGGCAGCCCCATGGGCCAAATCTAAGCATCCCATGGACCAGGTCTGGCCCACGGGCCTTGCGTTTGACACACAAAATTTCCTAGAGTAGGTTTGCAAGTTTTAAACCCCTTGGCTGGACTGAAAAGTGAAAAGGCAAAGAAGATGGTCATTAACAAACCACTTCCATGTTAGATTGGATTTGTGCAATTGACACCTCCCCCTCCTGAATTTCTTCCATTTTTTTTAATGAATTGTGCTACCCATAGCAAAATGGGAGGAAATTTCCTCCAACCATGTACTGAACAGTACATTGCAGTGTGCTGAATATGGGACAGAATTGCAGCCCGCTGTAATGTACTGCTGACAATTCTTGATGGGATAGCTAGTGTCCATATCCTCTTGAGCTGAGCATCTCATAATTTATCAAGTTACCTGCACCTACACTGAAAGAAGAATTGCCAGGGACCTTATAAAATTAAGAGGCATTATTATAATGTTACCCTAAAGAAAGTGTATCAAAGAGGTTGCTAAGAGTTGACACCAATGTGATGGTATGTAATCAAATCAATTTTAAAACCAAAATATCTGCCTTACCAACTATAAATCTTCTCTATCCCTGGCCTCAAAACCTCATCTATGTATGAATTCTGAGGTTGTTATACTGACATCTGCAGGATATGTGAAGTGGCTCAGGCAAGAGCCTGGAAGAGAGATTGTGAAATCTGATGGACCTGACTACCATATTCATCTTTGCAAACTGTAACAGAATGCATTCATATAATAATGAGTCAGATTTTGGGGACCATATTCTGGGGTTTAGCACAGATAGGCAAGCCCTACCTTTAGAATAACGGTATATAAAAGTAATATACTACATTAATTCTCTTTTCTGAAATGTATTTCTCTTTTCTGAAATGTATTTCATGTATTAGAAAGAAATTCTAATATTTGCTCAGAGGAATTAACTTTAAAAATAAAATGCAATGGTCTATAATAGTTTGACATCCTTATATACTTGCTTTATATTAAGCTTATTTTAAACTTCCCTAGAGAAAGTTTGCATCTTTCAGTTTTTGGATCAGCTACCTGCAAAGTGTACCTGGATAAGAAAATTAGTTCTTTGTAATTAACTTTATAGTGACTATTTTCCCAAATAAAGAATGCAAAAATGTTGTTGTTAGCTCATATACAAGTATATACAGAATGTCAGTTTTAGTCCCATCTATGATTTTTAATCCAAGGGGGTAAAAGTCAACATTAGTCATTATGGTAATTAAATAAGAACATGATCTTATAAACACATATTAGGAGATGTGAACTTCAATCAGTGGATCTTATTCCTAAATGTATATAAAATTGAAGACTTATAATTTCAATTTAGAAGTAAATATTTTGCATCCTGGTCTAGCAAGTATTCTCTAGATCGGTGATGGCGAATCTATGGCACGCAGAGCGCTCTCTGATGGCCTGCGAGCCGTCACCACAATTCAGCTCTCACACGCATGTGAGGACCTCCTGCCGGCCAGCTGGTCTTCAGGTCTCCTCTTGCTTTTGAATGGCTAGATTGGCAAGAGCTGAGGGAAGGATGGGAGCTCTCCCTGTAGCATGGAGCTCAGGTCCCGAACCTGGACTGTCAGATTTCCAACCGACAAACCCAGTGTCTTAACCACTGAGCCAATATGCTGTCTAAAAATAAAATACGTGGGGGCATGCGGGCGGGAACGGGCGCAGGCACATTGCATTTCGGGAGTTTGGGTGTGAATGTGTGTGTGTGTGCATTCACACGTGCATGTACTTTGGGCACTCAGCCCGGAAAAGGTTAGCCATCACTGCTCCAGATATTTTGGATTATGTCTGCCTTGTCTGATAGCTGACACTAGTCTAAAATATCTACAGCTAGTCAAATTGGAAGATTATTTTAAGGCCACTGCCTCCATTAATTTATTTGCTTAAAGTGCATTGTAACTTGATTTTATTTCAAGTGTTTCAAATCCCAAAAGTGCTTTTTCAGGAGACAACTTTGTTTTTTTCTTTTGAAGACATCTCGCTTCTCATCCAAAAAGCTTCTTCAGCTCTGACAGGATGGTGGGGAATGGAAGGATTTATATTCCTTGCAGACAGCTGGTCATTTGCATCCTTTTAGAGGGTTGTTGAAGCACTTGGAGGTTTATCTGTNTTTCGTGGTTGCGGGACTGCATTTTTATGACGGTTTTGCCGAAAACTGGAAGTTACTTCCAATTTTTAGCAAAGGTGCCCCAGAGCGAACCATGGGTTTGCTTAACAACTGCTGTGCTCATTTTATGACTGTCGTGTCTGCTGAATGACCACTGAGCACAAGGTAATAAAATGGTGTCGGCCACTTGACTGATGTGCTTTACAATCATGACGATATACGATCATAACGGGCAGGCTCCATTATGGTCGTATGTCAAGGACTACGCTGCAGTTGTTTTTAGCCCATATTGCAGGTATAGAAGTAAATAAATATATGCTCTTGCCTACATCGTTCCTAGTGTTTTGAAGCTGAGGAAAGCAAAACAAAGCACCGGTTGTCATTGTGACAATTATTCTGTGGTTATACATAGAAAAGGAGCTTTGTTGATTTTATCACTGAGCAGAAACAACTGATGTTTTACGCTATCTGTGCATGAAATGTTATTATCTGATCTCTCATAGCAAGGCATGATCAAGGAAGCAAGAAAGACAGGCTTCTAAAATGCCATGATTTGAGGTAGAAAGCAGAATTAGGCAATGGAAAGAAAAATCCATCTGGTTCAGTTTCAAGCTGGGAGAAAAAGCAGCTGGAAATAACATGGAGGCTGATTGGGAAGTTGGTTCATTGAACAGAACCACAAAGACAGTGTGCAGTTCTGGGTCAGCTGAACGAAGAGTTGACTGAGTGGATGGATCTTTATAGGTTTCTGGTGACTTTGAAGTTTTAACTGTTCTGGGGTTGGTGCAATAAAGAGACTGGGCAATTCCTATTGTAGCTAATGGCTTTTGTCCTGTGTTGGATCTCGGGTGAGGAGCTGCTTTTAATGCTATCACTCTGATTTTGTTAGCTGTCAAACTTTGCTGCAAGCAGTTTCGAAATATCCTGTCTTGAATGGATTTCTGCCTGCAGGGTTTGCTTTGCTTATGGATAGAGCTATCTAGATACTCGTTTTCTTCTTTCAATAAACTCTATATCTCTTTAAGTGCTGGCATCTGCTGTGGGCTATTAAGAAAGACTTTGGAGCTGCTTTCTGTCTTTAAGAGCATGTTTCTCCTTTAGGGAAATAGAATATTCTGCCCTTTTAATATTTCCCAAAATATTTCATTCTTGTAGAAGGTGGGGGGAAGCTCCCACAATGCAAACTGCAATAGGAACCTCTAGTCCCGTAATGGTGAACACACGGAGCCATTTCTGAGGGGACGCGAGGCATTGCCCTGTCAGCTCCAGCGCACATGCGCCCGCTGGCCATCTGATTTTCAGCCTTGATTTTTGGCTGTTTTTTGCCCTATGGAGGCTTCAGGGAAGCCACCTGAAGACTCCAGAGGGCGAAAAGCCACCCAACGCGCAAACCTGAGGTCCGTTCCCGAACTTCCGGTTTTCGTGTTCGGCTATTTTTCGCCCTCCAGAGG